ACAAATTTGTTAAATACGTGTATGCATAAATTAATGAAAGCATGAAAGGAAGGAAGGAAAAAAGGGAGGGAGGAAGGACATTTTCTATCAACCCCTCAGCCCATGAGTTACAGAGAGCTGCATGTGGTTTACAGAATCATTTACTCATCGGCAAGTGCTTCAGAATTTTCATCAGCAGATTCTAAAATCAGAGTAAAACCTTTTTTCCCCTCTTTCCTTCTCTCCTGTAGCTGAACAGAATTAAAAGCTTGATGGTGTCTCTATTGGGGTTATTAGGTCTCAGACTCACACACTGTACTTGTCACTTTTTTCCCTGAGGTTCTCAGTAACTGCAGCTAGCTGAGGTGTTCCGTCTCTCAGAAGGCAGAGTAAGTAAAGGAGGCGGCCCTGAACAGCTGTGGTGGACATCAGCAGGGCAGGTTTTCCTGCACCGATCCCCCTCTGCACAGGGGATGCCGTGGGAGGGCAATGCCCTGCTTGCTCCTGACTCCCCGGCAGCCAGCACCCTGGCAGGAGCCCACGGCGGGCCAACTGAGTGCTCGCACCCTGGGCCTGCATCCCTGGGAGGTCGGTGGAAAAGTGACTGATCATTCAAGTTATTTCATAGTAACAGCTATCACGGGGAACAGAGGAACATCCTTGGCCAGAGTGGCTAGACTACATCAGGAGGCAGTGTCTCAGCCACAGCTCCCTCTGGACAATGGGGTCGGTATTCTGGCTTCTTGGCCTTCTTGGGCTACCTTGGCTCTAAGCTTCTCTTCCAAGCACCGTCCTCCAAACTTTCTGGAAATTCTGTGAGCACCTAGTCTTCTAATCAATTCCCCTTTTGACTCAAGCAAACTAGAATCAGTTTCTGTTACTCACATCTGAAAAAATTTTAAGTAATACAATAGCAATCAAAGGGAAAAGAGAAGTTGAGAGAGAGAGAGAGAGCAAAAGAGAAAGAGAAAAAGAAAGGAAAGAAGAAGGAAGAAGGTGGGGAGGGGAGTCCTCTTCTGGTTGGCAAACGGGTGCCTCACACATGCTCAATGCATAGAAGGCACTCAATGAAGCTGAATGCAAGGAAAATCCTTTTATGAAATATTAGCATAGGACAAGACGCTTGTTCAGTAGTCTCCGTACCTGATCCCCGACTCAGCTCTACGGGTCCTCAGGAATCAGGGAAACTCAAATCAGCTGTTAATTATTCCTTGTTTCTCAAAGTGCATGGTTCACAGAGCAGTAAGAACCACCTGGGAAGTTATGGAAATGCAGAATCTCAGCCCTTCCCCAGACCTACTGCATCAGAATCTACACATTTACAAAGTTGCCAGTGATTTATATGTACAATACAGTTTGAGAAGCACAGGTCTTTGAGACCATGGTCAAGCTACCCTCTCAAGTGTCAGGTTTTTCATTTGAACCATGAGAATGATAAGTAAGACCAAACCCATGTATAGTGTTAAAGCATATGAAATTGCTGGTATTTGACCTTCTTGACCTATAGAAATGACAATTTCATATGATTCAATCTAATGCTTGTTCTTAGGGTTAAGTAAAAGTATCATAGGCAGTACTTACCACAGTGCCTGGCACCCAGTAAGAACAGCAAATCTCTCTCCAGCCTGTATTCTGGTAGAATTTTTTCAATTCAAGTTTCACACGCTCAGGACAATGGGAGTAAACTCCCATCAGTGCTTGGATTGAAGGCAGTAGGGGATGAGCTGACTGACACAGGGAGAGTGCAGACAATGATTTCAACTCAACATTCTTTCTCACTCACCTGCTCCATGCCAGTCGCTCCACTGCCTGCTGGGGACATGAGGAGAGACCAGCAGAAAAGTTCTCTGGGAGAAGGTAACATTGGCCAGGCATTCACCACTGTTCCCTGCTCACTTAGTGAACAGTCTCTTACACGTTCTATCATTTCCTTCTCACAGGAGGTGGGAATTGGCTTCATGTGTAAATGAGAACCAAGACTGAAAACTGTCCAAGGCCAACAGCTAGTAGTAGCTCATGAAACTAGATTTAGAACTGGATAAGCTAGCGAACCAGGAGCTGAGCTGCCACAGGCATGTCAATATGGTGAGCTGCAAGCTTTCCATAGGGCCTCAAGAGCTTTGAGGGCTGCTCTTTCCCAAGCCTCTTGCCTCTTCTGACATCGCATTCTAATCTGAGAAAACATTGCCTCTCACACGAAATGGCGCAGGGAGTGACCAGGAACTGTGTGGAATTCTGGGTCTAGGATGCAAACACGCAGCAGTTGGGCAGCATTTCCTGGAGTTGTGCGTGGAAAGCATGGCGGGCCTTGGTGTATATCTTTTTGCCTCTCCAGCTTTAGCTGGTTTTTAAATTTTCAAGTCCTTTCTTCATGTCCATCACAATGGAGTCCCAAGACCAGTAGTCAGCATTGCCTTGTAGTTATACCCGAGAGCCTGGGGCATGGCAGAATTACTGCAGTCCGGTGCTCTGCCACTGCTTGCTGCACTCATGGGCCACCTCTTCAGCCATCACTAAAGTGGGTGCATTGTGGATTCATTCATTATTGGAAAAATCCTGAGTACCGGCTGTGGCCTAGCACTGTGCTAGGGGCTGGCAGTATCTCAGAGTACCCGTATATATCCCCTCAGGCCTCCCACTGCAGGGTGAGCTGGGTCTTTTGTGTTTGTTTTTAACAGAGGAAACTGTCCTGCCTGTACAGAGTCCTGGAATCAACACCCACGAGGCAGCCCCCTTTCCATGGTTTGCGGAAGTTGGTGTGTAGATACCCTCAGGCTTCTTGGGCAGGACAGATCTAGGGCAAGTATTCCACAGTAGCATCTCGAGTTCCCCAGTGAGGTCGGCTCCAGTTTCCCACAATGGTAACGTGATTGAAAACACATTCTTCATTTGCTGCCTTCCCTTCTCTGTCTCACCTCCCCACTCCCTTCCTGGGGCTGGGACACCTCCTCAATAAACTGTCTAACCTTTCCTGGCTCCTGGGAAAACCCCAGTCAAGACAAGCTGAGCGCCAAGCTCACATCCCATCCTTGGGGGCACACTCAGGCAGAGATCACTTGCTGTGCCTTCAAACATTATTCTCTGATTATTTATTTGGCAGTTATTAAGTGGAGTTGCGATTTCCCATGGATAAATACTGATTCCCTATGCATAGATGCTATTTACAGAAACTTCATTACTCGGTTTGTCTACTGACCAAAGCAGAATTAACGCCCATGAAAATTTGACAGTATGCCTCCTCTTTCAGAAATTCTTGGCTCTCTTTTCAGTATTCTTTGCTGACTTTCTAGATGGAACTTCTTAAGGAGGTACTTTAAAGGATTTTTAAACTTAGATGACAAAATAAGTCCTAAGTGCCCAGTAAACAGCATTGAGCGTGCATTCACTCTGTTTTCAGAACTTCATCAGATTGTGAGCAACTGTGAGTTTCACAAAAACCGCACATCAATTTGCAGGGCCTAGCAGGGAGAATTTTTCATTGCGTGAGAACAAGACCAATTTATGTTTTGCTAATTTGGTCTAGTGACGTCTTAGTCCCCTGTATAGATCAGGGTCCTGGCTGGCCGCTGCCTGGCCTGTGCCTTAATTCCCCTCTGCCTGCCTGTGTGGTGCTCAGTGTGCCCTACCTGCCCTTTGGCATCTTAGTTCTGGCATTAAGAGACCCAGATAGGCAAGAGCTTTGGGCTCCTGGGCCAGATGCCAAGACGAGCCCTACACATCACTCACACTTAGGACATGGCTTCTGCACCTACCTTCCTCTCCACCCCACCCCTGCCCCTTCCTCAGACCTTGGGTGAGAGCTTTGCTGCTGCCAGAACTATCTGGTGAGAGCCATAGTGATGGCAAGAATCCCAGGACACAACATGGGCCTACGTGGACCTTCGGAGCAAGCTGGCATGTGGGAGCCCTGGCCTGCAGCAGCAGGGCCTTCTGAGAAGTTTCATGACTCTTTTTTTTCCTTGACAACTGAGAGAAGTGGGTGAAATGCTGGCTCAAATTTGACCTGACAACTATTCACGGCATATGTGCTCTGCCTCTAGTACAGTACGAAACCCCAGGCTAGAAGGATGCTAAAGGTGCCCAAGATGTGATCTATGCACTGGATTAATTTAGAGGTTTCTTACCAGGGAAATTTATACACATTAGATAATTAATTATCATCCCGAGTCTGAGTCAGCTATAGTACAGACCTTTTGTGCAGTTTTTGGAAAGGAAGGGAAAACAGGGAGGAAATGACTTGTATTAAGCATCTATTGCTGGCTATGCAATTTACATTCAGTTTCTCATTTAATCTTCCAACCACCTTATGAGGTAGATATTATCTTCATTACTGTTCTCATTGTTATTATTTCCATTTCACAAATGAGGAAGGCTCAGAAGGAACAATTTGTTTGCATAGTTATGGAGAGGGCACAACTGGGATCTGAGCCCACATCTGTCAAAGTCTAAGTCTTGTTTTGCTTTAGTATTATATCCAATCTGGAGTTAGACTGAGCTCATTTGGATTAAAGTAGTGAGAGAAGACTTCAAGGAAGATGAGGAATTTGAACTGCATGGGAGAGCTGGGTGGGTTTGGACAGGCAGAGAGGAAGCTGGAAGTCATTCTGAGTGTGGAAGCAATGTGAAAGCAATGTGTCATACAGGCCACCCAGCACCTACAATAGGGCCTGGTAGATAGAGGACTATAGGATGGATGGATGGGTGGAGAGATAGATGGATAAACAGATGTATAGGTGGAAAGAGGGGTGGACATTTGGGTGGGTAGGTGGATGGATGAATAAAGGATGGATGAATGTTACTGCATATATGGCATGAAAGTCCCTTATAAAACATGAATACAATAGTGGGAGTAATTTTTAATAAGCATATCAAGATCTCAACTTGAAAACCAATGTTGTCCATCAAATGTGTCAGCTCAAAGAGTCTGAACATATAGCCAGGAAGATTTCATCTGCTTTCAGAGTTAAGATAGTCAGTTAAGATCAAAGACTGATTTGAATTTGTATTTCACTGTGTCCTAGTTGTGTGACTTTGGACAAGATTCTTGATCTCTCTGGACTTTGGTTGCATCATCTGCATAATGAGGATAATACCTTACAGCATTCTTCAGAGGGAAAAATGAACCAATGTAAGTAAAGCTCTTAACATGGTACCTGGCATTCAATAAATACTATGTAAACTTTAAAAATAAATAAATATTGGGAGACTGATTAATTTGGGGCCTTTCTGTGTCCAGGAGCCTACCTAACAAGCAAGAAAGACCTATTGTTTTTTAAAACCATTTTCAGGGAGACAGAAAAATCTAGATTAAATTGTGCTAATTAAGGCTTCTACACAACAGGCCAGCAACAGAATTTAGAGCCACTCAGCTTCTAGAATCAAGACGGTGCACAGAACAGAAACTCCAAACTCAGAGACTTTGTAGCTATAACCATTCTGAATTCAAAATGCACCCATTGTTTACTTACACGGTTAACCAGTGGATTATGAGTAGGAAAGAGCTGGATCTCTCCACACAGACCCAGCGGGTGGCAGTCTTTGCAGCTAGATCATGGCCATGGTGCAGAGCCACAGAGAATTTAACCAGGCCACCAGATGTGGCTGAGACAGATTTTATAAGCTGAAGCTTATGAGAATGTGGGGATATTCTTCAAAAAAGTAGTAAGAAACAATATTACACATTTTGCAAAAGCATATGACCATGGGAGCACATTGTGAGGGTCCTTCCCAGGGTCCTAGGGGGGCCAGAGCAAGTGAAGGACCCCGAAGCTTAAGCTCCATTAGCTTCATGGTGTATCTGCCTTTGGTCATCGGAAGTGTGCCCCTGCCTCTACGTGCGACTGTGTTTGCTCTCAACAAATACTATCTAGTTTTGCATATAGACCTAAAGAACCTCAGTACTGAAATGTACCTCTTGCTCATTCATTTTACAAGCAGGGAGACCAAAAGTAAAGTGTTTTGGTCAAGGTCACACAGACTGGAATAATTAGAGTCTAACAGTCAAATGAGTTCCATGAGACAGACAGCACCTTGGAAACACAAATGTGCAAAGCTAAGTTATCCTTTTATAAGTGGATATTTTCCATACAAATGAATAGCTATTTATTATAAAAAAGGGGGAAACATAACAAAAACATATAAGTATATAAGCTTTGAAGACAGTGGAAACTAGCTTTTAATAATATTTTTCAATGCTAGAGTAGGAAATGCTTCTTAAGTTGCTTTGAAATGGTCTGCCCCAGTTGAATCATTCATTCACTCAAGAACTACGAAGCGCGGTCTTAGTCTGGATGCCCCAGGAAAGCCCAGGACAAGGACTTAGATGTGGCTTATTTGGGAAGTGAGAAAGCAAGCAGGAGGCAGTGAGGGAGGTGGGGAGTAATGGAGAAGGAGGGAAAGTTAATAGCGGGTGTGAGCTATTTACTACTACGGGCAGCTGTGGTTCACTGCTGGCATGGAACCCCTGAGGAATCGTGGAGACCATACCTCAGAATCGTCCCACTGAAGCCTGGAGGCCTTTTATCTACCCACCACCAATTCCATGTGTTGAAGTTTGCCCCAGGGCCTGAAACTCTCTGCTCTTCTGGGCTCTGCCTGTGCTTTCACTTTTTCCTCTCCTGTCCTTTTTTTCTTTTCCTTTCTTATGCTTCCCTTCCCTCTCCATTCCTGTTCTTTGGGAAAGCCCTAAGAGAAACTCAGTCCCAGTGACCAGCATGACAAAACTGCTCACCACAGCTGCAGGTGGAATCAGAAGTGGCTAAGGACATGTGGCACAGGGCACAGAAACTGTTTGCTATAAACATCAGCTACGTCCCAGGAGCCAATGTCTGCCTGACCCGGTATTTTTTTAAAGCAGGCTGACCCATCTGCATATTCTAAGGGGCATGAGGATCCATCTCAAAGCCAGGGATCACTCATCCAAGAAGGCTTGCTGCATGCCCACCACGACTCCAGCACTGTGTCAGGACCCGGATGTAGAGCGTGAACAGGACACACCTTATCTCTGTCACTGATGAGGGGAAGGCAGTCAGAATATAAAGAAGTGAACAAAGAAAAACACAGTAAAATTCTTTGCTAGTAATAAATGCTATTCGTGCTGACAAGTGCAATATAGTGATGTGAGTGTTAAGTAAGTAGCTACTTCAGAATGCTTGGTTACGGGGAGCTTCTCTGAGGAGGCGACATTTCCCCAAAGAAAATACTGGAGGGGAGGTGCAGATGGAGAGGGCTGTGGAAAGAGGAAACAGCTAGTGAGTCGGTCAGAAGGGAGGTAGGGATGTGTGAGGACTCAATAAAAGCCATAGTGGACGGTTGAAGAGGTAGTCGGGGGGAATCACGTGGGGTTTTTGAGCCAGGGCTAGAGGTATGGAGTTTACTCTAAGTGTGTTTAAATAGCATAGAGGTGTGCTGTGGTTTTGATTTTAAGAGTTCACTGTGGCTGCTATGTGGAGAACTGGGGTGAGGCAGGAATAGAAACAGCAGCACCATTACATGGCAGCCATGCTGTGCCCTTGCAGGGAGCTGATGGCACTTGGATTGTGGTGGTACTAGTGAAGAAGAGAAAAGCGGAGAGTTTAGGATCTGCTTCTGAGGTCAAGTTGTAGCATTCTCAGATGCACTGGATAGGAGGAATTGAAGGACAGCACCTAGATTTTTGGCTCAAGCATCTGGATGCCCATCACTGAGATGAGGAAAACCACGTGTATTAGTCTGGGTTATCCAGAGAAACAGACCAATAGGATACATATACACACTATAAGAAATTGTCTAATATGGCCTCTGGAGGCTGAGAGGTCTACTAGCTGGAGACCCAGGACAGCCAATGGAGTCATGGAGTTGGTAGTCTAAGCCAAGGCCAAAGGCCAGAAGAGGACAGTAAACTTTAAAAAGGAGATGTCTATAACCAATTAACTATTGCAAATGTTTTGTTTTGTGTTTTGTTGTCTAATGCAGAGATGGCATTGTTTCTTCCATCAAATAGATGTTTTGGATGATCCATCCAAAGAAGATCACTTAGTCCGACCATGAAGCCTACATCCGTCTCATCTGAGGGAAGCACTGGGGGCACATACTGTCGCTCTATCTGCAGATCTCACCACGCTGGTTCGGGCAGACATGGCAAGAGCAAGAACTCTTGCTGAATTCTGCAGGCGACTCCAGTGGAGGTACTGGTGACTCATCTTGCTTTCAGAGGTGCATCCAGGCAAGATGAGGCCCACACACACACTGGGGAGAGCAACCTGCTTTATTCGGTCTCATCCAGAAACACACTCACAGACACACCCAGAAATAATGTTTGACCAAGTATCTGGGCACCAAGTGGCCAAGTGAAATTGACACAGAAAATTAACACAGGGATGAAATAAGATTTCAAGGTTTCTGTTTAAACCACATTAAGTTGAAATGCCTAAAACACATCCAAGTAAATGACAAGTAGTAGCATATAGAAGCTTGAGGTTCTGGGGATAGGACAGGGCAGGAGATATAAATTTGGAATTTACTGTTTTACAGACAGTTGGAAGCCAAGGAACTGGAAGACGTCACCTAGTCAGAGAACAAGGTTCTATGAGAGAGCCCTGGGGCCTCCCAACATACTCCATGTGTATCAGTTTCCTGGGGCTGAGAATAAATTTCTGTCATTTTGAATCACCCAGTTTGTGTCCATTTGTTGGAGCAACCGTAGGAAACTAATACAAAATATGACTCACCACCTACTGCACTGCCTCAAGCACGCCGCAGCCCTGCACACATCTGCTCTGTCTGCTCGCCATCATTCCGTCCAGTGCTGCACCTTGTCTCCACCTCATAGCCCCTGCCTCCTCATGGTCCCTGCTCTCTCATCATGTCGGTTTACACTTAGCTTGTCCATATCCTCCTCAGCTCCTGTTTGTATTGGAACCTTTTAGCTTAGGCAGCCATTGATTTTTTTCACCACTGGTTACAGTTCACACTTCGCCCCAGGACACATCACTTAATGGAGAGCATATATGTTGGCTGCCTTTACGCTGAGTGCCCATCCATGCTCCAGCTGCCCTCGGCCCACAGAGATGCAGGAGGAACGCACAGCAGCCACCGGAGCACAGAGGACTGTTTCTCCCTCAGGCACTACAGGCAGAGCGCTGGCACTCGGGCAGGGCTGGGAGCAGGGCAGATGGTGGGGCTGCCAGATCTGGTCAGCTCCAATGTCTGGAAATTTTGAACAGAAATGACAGGAGCTCGGTTCTGAGGCAGCATGTATGAAATGAAGGAGAAAACAATTGCTCACAGAGCTGACTCTTCGGAATGAGACACCATCCAAAGCTGGCAGGCGGGCCAGTGCATTCTTCCTCCACGCCATGTTTATGTTTAGCTGTGGGGCTAGGGCCACTTGGACAGGAGAGAAATGGTCCTTCTTTCTAATTTAGTTTTTCTAAATGTACAACACTCTCACTGACATCATTCAAAACTTGGGTGTCAGAATGAGCCCTGCCCACTGAGTGAGTTACCTGGCCTACTGACTTTAGTTGGCTTGCTCTGATCTAGATCAGGGCTTCCTGGATGTTAGTGTCTTCAAACCATCTCGGGACTTGGGGTCTGGGGCATGGCCTGAGCTTCCGCATTTCTAGTGGGCTCCCAGCTCTGCATTTCTACTGTGCTGGTTTGAGCACAGCACTTTAAGTAGCAGGGCTCTAGAGCAGATTGATGTCTGAGGACTCAGGTACATGGAAGTTTCTAGGTGTGTCTTGAAAAACATAACTTGGCCAAATAATTTGGGGCAACAGTAGGTAAAACAAAGTCTATACGGCTTCCTTGCTTTCACAATCTCGTGCCTACTCACATGCCCTTAGGAGAGCTCAATTACATGCAGGGGTTCCCAAATCTATTTAACACAGGATCTTTGTTCCCAGGTATGTCAAAGACTAGGATTTTATAAAGTATACCTTGGGAAATGCTTCCCTGGGAGCCCAGTCTTCACCCCTTGCTTTCAGCCCAAGACTCCCAGGAGAATTTTTAACAATGGGAGGGAGCAGGAAACTGTTCTTCACTTTAGAGCTGGACTCCCCTTCAGGCATAGACTTAAATCAGAGAGATTAACAGCTCTGATGACTAAAGAATGTGTAAAATGTAGTGGTTGGAGTACACAAACCTAGGTTTCAATCCTTGAGTCAGTCATCCTCTTTGAACCTTGGTCTCCTAATCGGTAAACTGGAGGCACTGCTATATTCCTGTTTTGTAGGGTTATGGTGAGAAAGAAAGGAGTTGAATGCATGTAGAGAACTCAGTATGTTGCCTAGTACATAGTAAATGCCCGATGGAAGCTCTTATTATTACAGGGATGCAAAAATGTCACAACATTTCATATGCACCCCATGTTTTACTACAGTTTTTTATTTCAAGGAGAGGGAGAAGGAGATGTGGAGAGAGAAAGAGAAAGCACAAACATTCTGACTTGGAAAGAAACTTGTGCTTTGAAGCTGACAAGTATAATTTGTCTTGAGACTGCCAAGCTCTTGAGTTGAGCCTTCATATTGGAAAAAAAAAGAGACAAGCGAGATTAATCTGGGGCCTTCATTACTTACTCCATCTGGCCTGGCTTGGCACAGCCTCTTCCCTCTACAAATCGATTACTCCTTCAAAAGCCTCAGCAGAGTGGCCACTAATGGGTTCTGACATGGCAGGAATGGGGCTCGCACAGCACAGAGATAAGCGCCCCAGCATCGGGGCCAAAATACTTCCAGCGCTACAGCCCAGATGCTCCACCACCAAAGAAAGAACTGAACTGAACAGGAGCCAAGGCCTCTGGGCCAGGGGAGATACTGGACTCCCAGGAGCACTGGGAGAGCCGTGCCTCCCCGCGGGGAGGGCAGCAGGGCAGGGCTCACGTGGAAGGGCTGGGGGTGTGGGTTAGCTGACTGGGGAGCTCCAACGACCATGGATACTTTTTCACCTGACTACAGTCACCCTGGGGGAAATGAAGAAGGTTGTTTTTAGACATTTGCCAGTAAAAATGTGCTGAGTAGTTTCTTCACATTTTCCTCCTGAAGGGGGGCAGTGGGGAGCAGTAAGGGAACTGATGTTTATGAAGCACCTATTATGCTCCAGGCAGGGTGCCAGGAGGTCTCCACACTGTGGCTCTATCCCTCAGCCCAAGCCTGAGGAGGAGATATCACTACTCTCTTACTGAGGAAAGGGAATGCATTTATTCTAGGTCACCCAGTGACAGAGCCAGGATTTGAGCAGAGGACTGTCCACCTGTGGGTCCATGTTGATATTTGTACTATTTTGCACCTTCACTAGCAGTCTCTGGATTTGAGAGAAATTATGAGTAAGGAGAATCTTTCATGGCCTTAGGAGGTAGGGACTCTATGGCCTGAGTCTTCCCTCCTAGGAGGGACTGTAGGTCCATTAAGGCTGACACTGTACAAAAGAGAGTTCTTGAACAGAGGAGAAAACCAGATCCATCAATCCATTAACCAGGAGTTTGTGAATATTGGATTGGAGGCCTGCCAGTCTCTGAAACAAAGTCCCTGCTCCTGAGCTGCTTTGAGCCCACAGCTCTTTCAGAGGGCTGTGGACTTTGGCTTCCTTGGTAGGAGGGGTCAAGGCCCAGCCCAGTAGCACCCAGAACCTCAGGAAAGTGAATTTGGGAGCCTTGGTGAGTCAGAGACTGTACAACACTGCCATCTCCTGGCAGCAAGGTCCACTCTCATTTGGCCAGGCAGAAATCCAGCTCCGAATACCTGACAAATTACCCATTAAATTCTCTACTTCCCACAGGGAGCCTTCTGTAGTCACATTATGAATCAGGCCTGCCAGTGTCCATTTGTTAACAAAGCCCAGGGAGATCAAAAGCATGGGCTTCCAAGTCAAACACTGAACCATTCATTTTCTGTCACTTGACAAATATTTACTGAGAACTTATTTTGTGCCAAGCACTGTGCTAGGCACTGAATAAACAATGATGATCAAGACAAATGGTCCCTAACTTCATAAAGCTTATAGTGCAGCAGAGAAGAGGGACTGTAAAGAAGGAATTTTCTCATTGTAAACAAGGGATTTGTTCATTATTTCTGTGACAGCATTTAGAAGAAAAAGCACAGGATGCTGTAAGAGTACATAATGCAGAAGAGGAGGAGGAGGACTCTGGCCTAGTCAGTCAATCAGGAAAGCCTTCCTAAGGACGTGATCTATATGTATACACATGAAGGATGTGTAAGGATTAGCCAAGCAAGTGATTTAGAACAACATGTGTGAAGACCCTGGGACAGGTAAGAGCCTGGATCATTTGAAGAACTGAAAGAAGTTCTGTATTAATGGACAATGAAGAAAGAAAAGGAGTGGTGTGAGGTGAGGGTGGAGAAATAGGCAGGGACCAGACCACACAGGACCTTCAAATGCTCTGTTAAGTATTTGGCCTTACATCGGTCAAATCTCTTTTTGTTACATATGACAAAGAACTAGGAAAAGTAGTTTTAGTGAAAAGGCAATTGGTTGATATAATAGGAAAGTCTAGCATTAAAACCTCAGGTATGGCTGGATCAAGCATATTGAGACTTTCTTTTCAAGTAATTGCCTCTGCTTGTTTCTGCATTCCTTACTAGTTAGCTAGTTAGCCTAATTTTCTCCTCCACTGTAAATTTCTATCACCCTGGTAGGAAAACAGTAACTGATATTCACGTGCCTACATCCTTACAACCTATGATTCAAAAAGGAAGAAAAAGCTACTCCTCCATCTCCATTTGGAAAAAAAAAATCAAGGAAGGATTTTGATTGACCCAGGCTGGGTCACATGTCTACACATTAGACCAATCACTCTATCCATAAGGATGCATGCAGTACAATGATTAGCATAAACTGGACCATATTTTTAGCACCTAGCTAGAATGGGTAAGAAAATGAAGAAGGTGGAGTCGGGGCACCATGACTGAGAGCCCTAGGGCCATATGGAATATGGGAGGAGTTTCCCCCAGGGAAAAGTGTTGCTGATTACAGAAGAGAAATGGGAAAGGTTGTGGGATATACAAAAACACTGACAAATTAATATCATAACTAGGAGGAAGCACTAAAGGGTTGTATGCAAGTGAAAAACAGGATAAGACTTATTTTTTTAAAAGATCACACTGGCTATTTTAAGACTGAAATGGAAGGAGCAAGAGTGGAAGCAGAGAGAACTCAAATTCCAGGCAAACTGAAACACCTCCCAACTATCTGGTAGTTACCTAGAAATGCTCAATAAACTACAGCAAACACCCATTTAAATGCCTAGTAGAACTTGCAAGAAAGTATGAGAATCATCTTGGGGCAAAGATGAGGAGGAAACTGAAAAGCAGAGGGTTACGTGAGAAGCTGAAGTTGCAGCTTCTTTGGAAATTTCTTCCCATTTTAGGTAACAGAAACTTACATGTTAACAGCCACACGGGGAAAGGGGAAAAGGCCTCAGGCCTAAATGAGATGAGAGCCTTCCTCCCCCACCCACCACCACACATATTAAGCTGGGAACTTCAGTGAATGGTGAAATAATGGGTCAGGAAAAAAAAAATGTACGTATCACCACAGAGAGATAATTAGAAAGCATTTGTGTCTCATCTTGGGTTCTGGATGCAAAATGGCTTTTGTCCAACCCCTTTGAAACTTGGAGTCTTATCTCATGAGTTTGGGGTTGAAACTCCTACGTGCATGGTCCTGAAATCTTCAACTTTAAAAAGCATTCAGACTAGTCATACCCTTAGGATACCTGGGAGAAACAAATACAAAAATTTGTAGAGACCCCTCAATCTAGGATTCACCTAGAGAAAAAGCTCACTGAGCATATGCTCA